TGTGCACAGACAGGGGAGTGAGTGAGTGTGTGAGTGTATGCACAGACAGGGGAGTGAGTGAGTGTGTGAGTATGTGCACAGACAGGGGTGTGAGTGAGTGCGTGAGTTTGTGCACAGACAGGGGAGTGAGTGAGTGTGTGAGTGTGTGCACACACAGGGGTGTGAGTGAGTGTGTGAGTATGTGCACAGACAGGGGTGTGAGTGAGTGTGCACAGAAAGGGGAATGAATGAATGTGCAAGTGAGTGAAAGGTGCCTGCAGGAGTGTGTGTTCAAGCAGAGTTTTTGTGTGTATATGTAAGTATGTGAGCCTCGTGAGTTTGTGCATTGTGTATGTTAGTGCGTGTAGTGCGGGTGTTTGTGGGTGTATTTAGTAAGTGTGTAGTGTGAATATTTGTGGGTTCAGTGTTAGTATTTTTGTGTGCAGTGTGAGTGTGTGTTTGTGGGTGCAGTGTGTGCAGTGTGAGTGTGCAGTGTGCGTTTGTGTGTGCAATGTGGGTGTTTAAGTGTGCAGTGAGTGTTTATGTGTTTATGTGTGTCTGTTTGTGCAGTGTGAGTGTGTGTGCAGTGTGTGTTTGTGCAATGTGTTGTGTGTGCAGTGTGTGTTTGTATGTGCTGTGTGACTGTATATGTGACATTTTTATGTGGGTGCAGTGTGTGCAGCCTGAGTGTTTATGTGTGCAGTGTGACTGTTTGTGTATGCAATGTATTCATGTGTTTGTTTGTGTCTGTGGGTGCAGCGTGAGTCTTTATTTGTGCAGTGTGTGCCTGTGGGTGCAGTGTGTGTATGCAGTGTGACTGTTTGTGTATGCAGTGTGTTTGTGTGTGCAGTGTGAGTGTTTATGTGTGCGGTGTGACTGTATTTGCAGTGTGAGTGTTTATGTGTGCATTGTGTGTTTGTGTGTGTGCCTGTGGGTGCAGTGTGAATGTTTATGTGTGCAGTGTGTGTGCCTGTGGGTGCAGTGTGAGTGTTTATGTGTGCAGTGTGTGTGTGTGTTTGTGTGTGTGCCTGTGGGTGCAGTGTGAATGTTTATGTGTGCAGTGTGTGTTTGTGTGTGTGCCTGTGGGTGCAGTGTGAGTGTTTATGTGTGCAGTGTGTGTGCAGTGTGTG